ACACACACACACACACACACACACACACACACACACACACACACACAGATCTCAAATCGTTAAAGAATTTTTTCATGGCAGTTTTAGGTTGCCGTTCTTCAAAGCCTTTTAGCTGCTGGCCTGTGGAGACGACTTTAGCTATTACTCCCGTGTATTTGAATCATATGTTACAGTAGACCCAATAGGAAAACCCATGCTATGGGTGTGTTCATGGCCACTCTTCTATTACGTTAGGAAATCGCTCACACAAAATCCACCTTGGTGCCCCTCTGAATCTGATCACACCAGTAACTCAGCTCTATTCTGTTGTGTGCGGTACAATGATGGCATGTCGGACTCAGAGTCATCTTTGTGTAACCACTGAGCATATTATTTCAGCCAGATTTGGAATATCTGGTTATTTGATTTTTTTTTTTTGGTAGTACACACAAATCTTGTAGTGCCTTCAAAACCACTGTATGGGCCAGGTATGCTGGCATATGCGTGTGCCCAGCGCATGGGAGCTGGAGGCCCAAGGATCAAGAGTTCAAGGCTAGCCTTGGTGATGTACGCCTGCATTACACGAACTCCTCTATCAGAAAAAGGCCATAATGTGCAATAAAAATAATCTATATATTATTGCCATATTGTGACATAATACTTAGTCAGCCTAGTTGACCGGTTTGAAACTCAACATTTTCCTGTTAGCTTAGCTGTTATTTTGAATCATGTATTCTCGGGTTAATCTACCAATAGAAGAACTAAGTGGCACACTTACTGGGTGTTACCTAGATAGTCTTCTGCTTGACACAGATGCACAAGCAAACCAAAACAACCAAGTGTCTAACCCAAAGGAAGCCTGTGCTCTTTTAGAAGCCCAGTGAGTTCCCTCCCCAGTGACTCTTCACAGTTGCTTCCTTTGGGAGTCACAGCGCCCACAGCAGCACACACACAAGCCACTGCCTCGCTCCTGGGCCCCGACACCTCCGGTTGAGGGCAGGAGCCAAACACAGGTTCTCTGTTTTCTTCTTATTCATGGGGGAAATTAACAGTGAAGTTTTTGAATATCCAAAATAAATGCGTAGTGGTAAGAAAAATAATAATATTCACCAGTGGACCAAGTATTTAGATAAATGTAAAGACCTATTTAGTTTGATCTTTATTTGAATTAAATTTCTACTTTGAATTAGCTTTGTTTTGACATCGCTGAAATAAAAAAGTTTTTTTTTTTTTTAAGCCACTTATTCTAGTGTGGGGAGGCCTTTCTAGTCTAACGTAATTCTTTCTTCCTTGGACCCTTGTCGCACATGGAAAGAGGACAGGGCAGAGTAGAAAGAATGGAACCAGGGAACGAAAGGCGAGGGAAAGAGAGGAAGGGAAGGGAGGGGAAGTGGCCTTTGCAGGATTCCCATCACAGGCTCATTGTGGGTGCTGATTCTGTGCACGTGACTGTAGGCTTCGAGGAACACAGCCACACGTGGCTGTCTTCCATCCTAGAGCTTCCTTTGCCTACACAGTACTCGATGACGTCATTTAAGATGGAGGCTGGCTCACTCTAGGCTACTCTGCCTCCGTCTGGATTCCCATGCTGTGCACTCATACACAGCCTCTGGTAAGGGAGCGTGGCAGGCCTGAGGTGTGCCAGCCTTCTCTTCAAGCTTAACCTCTTCCTGAGGTTAACTAGCTGCACACTCTGCCTGTCCTGACCTCCAGGTTTGTGGCTGAAGTGGGGGATTACCCACTTCAGAATAGTCACAGCTGAGCTGCCCTGAGGGCTCCAGAGTTCACGGTGGAGATCTGACCTCAGTTACTGCTCTGCAGTTGTCCACCCAAATGGTTACTGGCTGTTACATTGCAACAAGCTGCCATCATTCCCTTCTGAATTCCAGAATCTGCCTAGAAATGCCAAAGGATGGAGCTTTCCAAAGCTTTGCCACTAAGTATGTCACAGAAGAAGCAGAGGGTCTGTGTGTCAACCAACAGGAGCAGATGCAGAGACTCACAGCCAAACATGAAGCAGATCTCGGGGAACCCTGCAGAAGAACAGGAGGAAGGATGGTAGGAGCAGAGCGGTCAAGGACAGTTCTACAGAATCAACTAAGCAGGGCTCACAGTGGCTCACAGAGACTGAAGTGGCAATAGCAGTCTGTGCGGGTCCGAGCCAGGTCCTCTGCATGTACATCAGAGTTGTGTGGCTTGGTGTTCTTGTGGGACCCCTAACAGTGGCAGTGGGGGTGTCTCTGACTCTTTTGGCTCCTCTTGGGACCCCTTTCCTCCTACTGTCTATTCCAGCCTTGACACGAGGGTCTGTGCCTCGTCATACTGTAACTTTTAATGCCGTGTTTCATTAATACCCCTGGAAGGCCTGTGCCTTTCTGAAGGGAAATGGAGGAGCAGGTCTTGGAGAGAGGGAAGATGGGGGTTGGGAGGAGTGGAGAGAGGGAAAACTGAGGCCAGTGTGTAATGTATGAAAGAAAAATAGGAGGAGGAGGAGGAGGAGGAGAAGAAGAAGAAGAAGAAGAAGAAGAAGAAGAAGAAGAAGAAGAAG